GAGGTTCTCGGCCCGATGGAACCCAACACCCTTAAATTTCTTAAGGAAATATGCAAAATGATCAGCGTCAGATCAGGCGACAGCAGGGAACTGTTTTTCGCAACTAACCACATTTCGTGCTTGTTGCAGCGGTTCCTGCGTGTCTGTGTGCTTGAAAATATCCAACTGAATGCCGACATGTGCAATTAACGACAAATCAAAGTGTTAATCCACTTGTTACTTGATGTTTGACGGTTCAGTGTCACTCATCATGTTTTGGTTTTAACATACATACATACATACATACATACATACATACATACATACATACATACATACATACATACATACATACATACATACATACATACATACATACATACATACATACATACATACATACATACATACATACATACATACATACATACATACATACGCACGCATGTATGTATGTATACGCAAATTGACACCTACACACACATAAAAACATAAATATGAAAGAGGGAGGGAAAGAGAAAGAGAAAGAAAGATCAAGAGAGAGAGACAAGCAGACAGACAGACAAACAGAAATACATAAATACACAATAATACCTTTTGTCGTTGTGGTATTTGTCGACTGTGTTGTATAGATAACCTCCATGATTTATCACTTGATACAAGTTAGTTAGATTGGAGGTACAAAACTGTTAAATACACTTTTGTATTTATCTATCTATATATATATATATATATATATATATATATATATTTATTTATTTATATATATGTACATAAATTAATAGATTAATTAACACTAATTTAATTATTTATATAGTTTAAATAATTAATGAGTTATATTTAAGATTAGTTATCATAACTTGTATCCATCCTCTTACAAACATAAATCTTACACTTCACACCAATGTTGAATATGTTACTAATAAACTTTCGCTAAATTAATTCACAGTAATAATAATAATTATTTTATTAATATTTTTAATAATAATAATGATGATATAATAACAAAATGATAATTAAAGTGACATTAATAATGATGAAATTTCATTTTAAACCGTGGAATAAATTTTGCTGACTGAGCTTTTAATATTAAAATTCAAATTGAGATGCTGTCAAGACATTAGCTGTCAAATATACATATACACATATACAGACATCTTTATGTGTATGTATTTGTGCGTGCGCGCGCGCGTGTGTGTGTGTATGTGTTTGTTTGTATGTGTGCGTGCGTGCGTGTGTTGTGTGTGTGTGTATTTGTTTGTTTGTGTGTGTGTGTGTGTAACGAATTCTAGAAATAATAAACAACTTAACTAAACTTAACTAAAATACAATGTGTTGAT